AGAGGACGATCCAGACATGAAAAAAATATTAGAAACTTCACAAATCATTAAGAGTAAACGACAAAGTCTGTCTCTCAAATCCATCCTTACAAAAGCATCCTTTTATACAAACAACAATGAACCAGCAATCATCAATAGATTCAACAAGCCAAGATGCAGTACTTGCCCATACCTGACAGAGGGATCCAAATTTCAATTTAAAACTGGAAGCGAATTTACAATTAAAACATCAATGTCATGCACCAGCTCTAATCATATTTATGTAATAACCTGCGCCGGTTGTGGTGAAAATTATATCGGCCAGACAGGAGACACCCTGAGACACATAATGACCGTTACACACACACAACAAATTAGGGAACCAAAATACCAGTGTACCACCGTAAGAGAACACATCAGAAACTGTGCCAAAAATAAACCCCCAAACTGTACTGTCTTTCCTTTCTACAAATTCCGAAAGGATACTACAGAAAAAGAACGTGAAACTAAAGAAAAACATTTTGCAAACAGACATAAACCTGTTTTAAATGCAACATAATTATATTTCATTTAAGAAATGTACTTTTATCCGCATAATATAACTATACTATTTGTATGAAAAATATAATTTCCCGTAAGAACTTACTTACGTATTATCATGTCGTCATAATGAACTTTGCTTAAGGTCAAGATCTAGTAAATGAAAGGTGCCTACAGATTTATGAAACTTGAAAAATAAATTCCTTTATTGATGCTTTACAACTTTAGCTTGGTAAACACCAAATAAGGTGTTTCGGGGCATAATTTGTAGGTAAACAAGATGAAAATCTGTATTTTAAACTGTCATTCCCAATTAAAAATTAAGAAAACTAGTCATGAACATGGGAGTTTTTTTCGTGTTCGGCAAAGGAAATGTATCCAGATTGCATACAGTCTCTCAGAAAACGGTCATTAGTATGTTCATGGCCTCATCTTTAAATCAATATCAAATTTGATACAGGTATCCGGTTTACTTTTCATATGATTTCAAATTGAATGACATGAAAATACCCTATTTTCTACATAATTCTGCTGAAGCCGAAAAGTACGGAAAAAGAAAGTTGAAATTGATTATGACGTCATAATGGATCTAGCACCAAAAAATTAGTCTCAAGTTATTCACTAGATCTTGACCTTAAGCGCGACAAGTATTGGCGCTTTATGACGTCACAATACGAGAAGTGATTTTGTGTAACTAAGCATTGTATTGTCAAACTCCTGAAGATTGTAAATGAAACCGGTTGAGTTTATTTTAGCCTGGTATATATATATATTTCTATCTATCTATCTATATATATATATATATATATATATATATATATATATATATATATATATATATATATATATATATATATATATATATATATACATTCGCTGTGTTTTTCTAGTAAGCCAACTGTGAAATTGATTTGTAAACCATTTTCGTGTATACTCACGCGTAGAAATATACACGGAGAAACGTTACGTCACAATGAGGCTGCAGCGACGTTAGTAAAAATGCAACGATATAGGGCAGCGAGAAATTCAAATATTTAGCATAATTCAGTTACTTCCAAACATGTAAAATATAAATATAAGGAATGTTTTTCAGTTTAGTGTGAATTATTGGTGTGTGAATCACACAGACTTGCACGTAAGCATATTTTTCATGAAGCGCCAGCGCGCTTCGTGAAATATGCCTACGTGACAAGTCTGTGTGATTCACACTCCAATAACTCACCCAAAACTAAAAAACATTCCTTAAATAAATATATATACTTTTCAAAAAAAGAAACGCATAGTAGGAACAATGCCCTGAAAATGTATGATAGTTTTGTCAAATCTTTTATTTTTGTATGGATACGATGTCTTCGAGTGAAATACATGATTTATTAATGCAATTTTTAACTTTACAGCTATTCTAGAAGTCTCACAGACAAAAAGACCTGATTTTGCAAAATTTCCCCCAAAATTTTGATCTCAATTTTCATTTATTGAATTCCGATAAAATTCCTTCAGGTACAAAGGGGCTATCAAAAGCGGGGGTTCTCGATATTTTGAATCTGGTTTTATCTGAAAAATGACGCTTCCTAAAATTGCTGCATCTGAATATTGTGTGGCAGAAAAAGGAAAATGGGCGACTGGAAGCAGGGGTGCCGCATTCTATAATTGCAAGAGGTTTTCATGTTACACACAGACCATATCTAACCTATAAAACATAAACCATTCACATCGAACACCTAATGTTCGCAAAAAATATGGTAGACTACGCGTGACATCAGCAGCACAGCATCACTTCCGATGATTACGTTAATTGCATGAATGTAATGCAAGGACGTCATCTAAAGCATAAGCTATCCCTGAACTGCACAGATCATCTTATAAGACCGTTTTCAGTTGACTACGAATTATTGCAAGAGGATTATTCATGCCATTGCTTCGACCCCACAACACCCCAAATATCGACTTCAAAGATCTCAGATCAATAGAGTATGACCACAGCATCACTGCTGAACATTTTCGTTAACCTACTAGTCCAGAATGTTTATCTGAAAGCCTCTTATAAGTTTAAGAGTGCTAATGCTTTGTAATGAATGTTAGACAGATAACTCCTCCAGGACGTTAAAAAAGTTGGTGGTGGTAGTGTAATGATATGGAAAACGGTATTATAAGAAAGTAAGATTGATTTGGTTCGAATTCAATGGACTTTGATGAAAAAAGGTACTCTAACCATGTTCTACCTACACATACCCATTCAAATTTGCAGCATCCTAGAGCCCTATTGCAATCTCACAATACACAGCCATATATGGCTCGTTTGACACACCTATTCTTGCAAAGAAACAACAACCTGTTTCAGTCACAGTCATCTAAATCGGTAGATTTAATCCAAATTAAGCAGCATTGGACAAAATGGATTAAAATGATTTGCCAAAGACAATCGCATCCCCAGACTCTGCAACACCTGACTAAAGTTCTACATTTGGAGTGGGAAAGTATTCCTATACAGTTTTTATTACACACATTTGCTTCCATTAGATGCCGTTTGTGGCTATCATTTGTGTCTGCGGGGGGCATACAAGAAATTGATCTTTAATGGTCTTAAATTGACTATAATTTTAGAATTGTTGAGTAATTATGACATTTAGATAGTATTCCTGTTGCTTACCACATTTCTGTTTTATCAATGCATCATTTTACTAAATAATCCTTATGTTCAATTTGTCACTAAAATTTTACGATGCGTTTCTTTTTTTGAAGAGTATATATATATATATATATATTTCTATCTATATATATATATATAGGCTATATATTTCTATCTATATATATATATAGGCTATATATATATATATATATATATATATATATATATATATATATATATATATATATATATATATATATATATATATATATATATATATATATATATATATATATAGAAAAATAATCCAGAGTTTGGAAAAGATGATCACATTTTATTCCATAGCGCTATATATATATATATATATATATATATATATATATATATATATATATATATATATATATATATATATATATATATATATATATATATATATATATATATATATATATATATATAAGACAGATAGAAAGTCAAAGTAAGAAAACTTCTGTATTTGATGTATAAGACATAAATGTTTCACTTTAAATTTAAAAGGTTTACTAACTGCAAATTCGAAAAATATTTCTTCAGAAAATTGTAATGAAATCAGATCCGCAAAAAATTAGATCTACTCATTTGGGACTACTCCCTCGTTAACATTTATTGATAATTAAAACAATTTTGCTCATGATTTCTTATCTTGTTATTTTATTAGAAAAAAACATGAAGCAATATGGTATCGCTGTAACTACCCACGGAGATAACTCAAATCTGCCATCGAAATTCATTATCCATGTTAATGCTACCGAACAAAATTACAGAAGAATGATCATGAGTGTGTTTGAAAAGGCGGATAAAATGGCCCTGAAAACTCTTGCCTTCCCAGCCCTAAGAACCGGTTAAGCTTTTAAAAACATATATGTATTTATTTAAGTTTATTGTAATAGCATTAAAGTTTTTATGTAATTAGAAGGCGGCTTTACACCATGAAAACAAGAAAACATGTCGTTATATAATGTTTATTCAGAAGTATATTTATTACAGATTTTTAGAGAAGCTTGGTGTTCGTGGCACAGGCACTTTTTTCTGTATTATTTTTTTACCCATAGTATAATAATAACGCAAGGTATCTAACCTTTACACCGAGTACCCCCATTCCGGTAAACTGTTTACCTATATGTCTTCTACGATGATTTATCTACACAACCATATCTGACATGCTTGTTTTTATTTAAGAAAAAGATATCATTTTTAGAGTTGCATTGGGGTATGACATGAAGTCGGTCACTTGATCAAATTTGATCACGTACCGACTTCGTGTCATACCCCAATGCAACTCTAAAAAATGATATTTTATTTCTTATATTCATATTTTACGTTTTCATTCATTTTACAAACAAATGAAGGCATTATTTAGACTTATATTTTGAAATAGAACGTAACGTTCCTGCGACGTTATGTGACGTCACAGTTGGAACTTTCCAAATTGCACGTGCAGTTTGCTTTTCATACGCAAGAAAGTCTGATCATGTGACCGACTGCATGTCATCGAAAATTGAATGTCATTTTTTTAGCATTGTTATGTAAGGAAAAAAAATTGGCAAATGTTGAAGTTGAACTATGTTCCATCTCCCATGTTCATCACGCAATCGACATGCGCATTAATTTGTGTTGATTATATAAAGAGCCGAAAGCAAAGCTACTATATCGACCAAATTACTCCAATGATATTGAACAGAAAATATGCATAAACATCCGCCACAAATAGTTCATGTCATTTTCTCCTGAATTGATCTAATTCTTATCAAAATGTAAGTAAATGTAATATGATCAAGTAATTTTATTTTGAATATTAGATTTCGTTCAAAGTAAAACTGAATTATAAAGAACCTCATTCTTAGAGTAGCGTCATCTATAAACACTGAAAGAGATGCGAAAGACAACTCTACAAACTTACGGCAAGTGAGAAATCTAGGCTTCCCGAGAGCCGACGGTCCCAGATTTTGGATTTTAGCAATTATTTTTTTTTTACCAGCGCACAGAATTTATTCAAATTTTTCTTGAAAATTTTCTTGGTTTAAATGAATTCAATATTGCATAAAAACTTTAGAAAACATGCGTATTTATTCCTAAGTCAGCAGTATCACCTACCAAAAAGCGATAAATTTAATACTCTGTTATAAATGTTAAAACCAAAAACAGACTCAAAAAAGCGTGTTTTCATAGAATCGCGATTAAAACAACAAAGTGAAGTATATTTTTTTTAAATAAAAGGAAACCTCTTTTACATGTTAGACATGTTGCACACAAAGTCTCACATATACAACTCTTTTTATGTTTGTATATGTTTCTAACTTTGTATTGTTTTCTTTTCTTCACAATATTTAAGACATTTAAGTTCTGACGTACTCCATGTATAATGTTCGTGTAATTGATATACAATTATATTCACAGAGAAGTTTTATATAACAAACTTGCTAACTCTTAAAAGGATGCTATGTAAAAGTCCACATTTTACCATCAACGTTATTATTCCTGTGTTACTTAAAATTTCATAATACATGGTTAAAGGATATATTACAATTTTAAAGATGGACAAGAGGTACTGTAAGCAGCAAATAATATAAATGATCAACCGCCTGTAATATGAATATAATGGCAGTGTCCATGTTTTGCAACGGGAAACCCAAAATATGTGTAAGATGAAAAAGTAACAGAAGGTGCACAACGACAATATGAAATAAAGATTCTTTGAAAATTTCATTCAGTGGTGTAAGAGGAGTAGCGGATAAGAGATGGGTACATGTATACCTAAAGCTTAACAAACAGATGAACGGACATCCCGATTAATAAATACCCTCCCGCTTTTCAAGCAGGGGGTATAAAAAAGGACTAATGCTGGCAGGCCAGCATTATGGCCCATGTATTGTTTTGCTATTCAATGTCTCTGAATGTCTTTCTCAAGATTGTTGCAACACAAAAAATCTTAAACAGTTATCTGTTCTTACTGTTCACTCACTTATCCTCCCGATGATCAAAGATTTAATTGTACAACTCCTATGAGTACTTTCAGTACTTTGAAATTTTTGTTATCTCTGTAATCAGCGTCAAAACTCTGCTCGCCGAGTGGAAAGTGAAACTTAACCATAGTTTGGTATGTTCGAAGCTCGGGCAAAGAATTATACCTGGAATTTGATTGGCTAAAAGTCTGTTTCTAAAATTACATCGAAAAAAAACATCGTAGTGTTTTTTGGAAAATATGACACTATGAAATTTTATATTTTTAATACAATATTTGAAATATGGAATTGAATTTTTAAACCCACGCATTCTTTAATTTTTCTCTTTGACCGAGATTAGCACACACCGTTTTATGGTTTAGTCAATCGCAACTTCTCGGGCCTTTCCGACTAGCGGAAAAACGACCTCGAATGTATATGGTAGACGCCATGACAACCGTCCCTTTTCACGATCTTTGAATAAAATGCATGGGGACCTTTTATCTGTGGAATATGGCGTTTAACTTCATTCATTGTAATGATATTACCTAATATATACTATTGAAGGGTTTTCTAACTTCGTCTTTCCAATATTTGATTAAACAGGAAATGTATAAAATTTTAACATCCGGTGATGTTAATACATTCGAGGTCGTTTTTCCGACTTCTTAAGGAAAGACCCGAGATAATGCGATTGATGGTTTAGTTCGACGTTTCTACTCGGCGAGTAGAGTTTTGACGCAGTTTACGGAGATTAAAAAAACAAAGACAAACTAGCCATTTATATGGTAGTGTAGCTATATTATCGTAGAAGACACAGGTATAGTTTGCCACTGCCTTTTCGAATTCTCTGAAAGTGTAAATAAGCGCGATTCTAAGGGAGGGGGTACTCCGTGTAATTTGGAGTTAGATACCTTGTGTTATTATTATACTGTGGGTTAAAAAATTTATTCTAGAACCAACTGCCTGTGGGTCGTGGCCATTTTTATACTATTTTTATCTCCTTTAGAAAAAGAGCTCCATATAAAGTATAAAGATATACAATAATGATTAAAGATGGAGGACGGTTTTGATTGGCATTCAGCAGGGATCTGGGCGTAATTGAAAAGTGAAAATTTTATCGACATGTCACATGAAATTTTAACATCTTTTTTATTTATCGGGTTCCTGTGCAACAGGAAAGAAAAATACTTTCCTGAAATTGAGTTTTGATTTGCTAAAAAAAAAAAAATAAATAACTTGAAAATTGGCCAGATCAGACATTTGGTACAAAATGGTACATTTAAAGACAATTTTCTCTTAATTTTTTTATCTCTGGGTCTTCTCTCCATGATTTTGAAACGTTCTTTGTGTGTTTTTTAATTCAAAGAAACGAATTAATACACTATTTTTCAAAAAAAGGATAGAAGACCCAGAGACTACGAAAAATAAACTTTCCTCCCAAAAATCCAAATGTATAAATGTGTAAATATGATGCTTCTTTGACCTTTTAAAATCGTCTTAATATGTATAGCGGTGATAGCTCAGTAAGTTGGGTTACCTGTTCAGTGCACTCGTATGAAAAGTAAGTTTATCTGCTATCATTGTCTTTCCGTCTATCTGAACGTCACTTTCACTTTTTCAACTCCTTTTCAAGAAGCAAATTGTTATATTTTACCCAATGATGGTGCAAGGCGCCTCCTGATATAGAATTCTACAGATCTACAGTAAAATAGTGGACCAAGCGCCTTATGGACTTTTACGAGTAGCACTGACTTTTACAGTTGACAGTTTACTTGGACATTTAAACCTGTGTCATGTATGGAAGTACAGAATTGATAATGACAAGAAAATATTGGTAATGTTGTTAGGGACGCTTAAATGTGAAAGCTGGAAGATGAGGGTAGAGTGGTTGTCGTTTTCTTCAAGGACAAGTTGCCTGTACTTAGAAATAGGCCGCTATTTTCGTTTAATTCATTGTTGAGCTAATTATTTATATCGTATAAGAGCCTCCGTACATTTTCCTAGTGTAAAAGTAATTCGTCAACTGTAAAAGTCAGCGCTTCTCGTAAAAGTCCACTATGAGATTATCAAGGAAAAGCAAAAGTGTGATAGGTTATTAAAATATCTTTTAAGAACAAGTTGGCCAAAAATGCTAAATATATAGTGGAATGTAGTTCAAATCATGGATTCGGATGCAGGTTACGCTGAATATTTCTTTCATCATTACAATATACTATCGTATTCTGCCTGGTACAGGCAGATAGCTAACCAAATCTACTCGCAGTAGGCATTGTAAACACATGAAGTCAAAGTCACACGAAAAACAAGTTTATTATCCTCTGGTGTGTGGGTCATGTAAATACAGCACAGGTATGCCTGAGTGAGTGTGAGCAAACGTATGCGTATGATGTATGATGGTAAAAAACTACCAAAAAAAATACGAACAAAAGCTTACAAATAATGTACTAAAAGTTGTAAAACAGAGATAGTACACTGTATTTAAACACAAAAAGGTATTACAAATAATGTGACCAAAATGGCGTTCCATACTTTAGAGAATGTTTGACCTTTCAGAAAAAACTTTATTTACATGGGAAACTTTAGAAAATACATTCAAATAATGTGAAAATATAGCTCAAAAATAACATAAAAAGACTTACATAGTGGATTTAGGCACTCAAAATGTAGGATGCATGGTGATTTACACAAAAAATAATAGCCACACTGGGGCTGGTCAAGCAGGTAAACAGGAAGTGAGTAAAATGTAGTTAACTCATACCAAAAATAGTAACAGAGTTACACTAGTTAAGTCATACCAAGATTCAGTTTACCATGTAAGTTTTCAACAATAATAATAATACATATGATAGGCAACACATATAGAGATATAAAGGACGAGATAGGGTAAGAGCCAAATCTGGCCCCTTATTTGATATAAAAATCAGAACACTGGTAAAATTGTAATAGTTTGTAGTTAAGAAGTTAAAATGATGCTTACTTTAAGACAAGCACTAATTTTGATTCAAAGCTTACATGGAAGCCACTAGAGGGTGCAGAAATAGGACATTTTCCCGAATTTTCTCAATTCTGGTGGAATTTCATCATATTTGGGATACATTTCTCTTCGGAAAACATAGAGCACAGGCTTGCCTATCTGAGATTTTTACACATATACTGCATCTGATATCAGTGTATAAAATATATAAATTTGGTAGATAGGCAAGCGTGTGCTCTATGTTTTCCGAAAGAAAATGTGCTGTAAAATTCATGAAATGTTGCATAAAAATGAGAAATATCGAAAATTGACCTATTTCCTGACCTCACTGTGACCCCTGTATATTCTAATTCTTAAAACCAACACTCATTTTGTTGCAGGGGTGAAAACAGGTTTTTATTGATAATTTGTTGGATCATTCTGAAAGACAACCAAAATCGGGGGCCAAATACTTGTCTTACCCTATCTTGTCCTTTGGGTTGGTCACGAGATTAAATTGACTTCCTAATGAATTTAATCTCGTACCAAACCGTATTTATAGTCCGAAAGATGTTTTAAAATGATACCTTATTACTTATATTAATTTTACATTTGTGACTTATTCAAATTTTAACTTTGCCTGATTGTGATTTTAACGTGTGAAGATGCATTATTTTTCAAACCCAACGGCATGAGTATAATCCGTTGAACGCGCGCCGACCCTTTATGACGTCACTGAGAAATTACGTCAAACATTTATCAATGTGCACATCTATGACCTCTTGACCCCATACCTGTATTTATACAGTTATAGATACGCATTGCTTTCAGTAGTGTTATATAAAGGAAAACATTTGCAAATGTAAATGTATAATAATATTCTTTGAACAGATTGCAAAAACCTTTAAAAAGATAGGAAATAATAACTGATCTTTGAATTTATTTAAAAATTTCTTTCGAGACATAAAAACAACCTTTGTATAATTTGATCACATCATTAACCCTTTGAGACTTTTTTTAATAAAAAAATGTTTCATAGAAATGGTAAGAGTGATGTCTTTGCTATTGATATTATTTAGGGAAGCAAGGGAGAAAAATTGAGGACTTTGCGCAAGACGTATTCTACGCATTGAAAAAAATGTCATCTGAAGTGAAGAATCTTTCCGAAGTTCATATAATAATCTTCAATCAGAATCAAGTTTCACAGTTCATTGAAGAGATCGGAAAGTGTTTTGAATCGCAAGGATCAAAACCAAAGGGTTGGTTTACAGGAAAATGGAAAGCAGTTAAAAAATATCTGACTGGTAAGAATTTAGAACTTGAATTAGAAAACGTATTTCCAAATATCCTACCGCACATGTGTCTTTTTATGCATGTAATTTGTGAATGGAAAAGGCAAATAAATCTTCGTATAAAATTGCCAACCAGAAAATATAAAGTCCAATGATAATGAATGCTTGATATCCCTATTACTTCGCGGAACTATTTTGCATTGGAGATAGGAAACGTCTGTTAGATGGAGACAAATGGAGCAGTAAAAATTGGCCTTGCTTCGTACTTTCGGCATAAAATTGTTTAAGTCATCCCATTGTCCCTTCTGTAAAGAATGTCATGTGCTCCAGAAATCTTGCTATATCAAAAGCTTTCTTGACCCCCCCCCCCCCCCCTGCAAAAGAGAGGTAATAAGATAACTAAAAGGTACTCGCGGACTTACGTATTTAAATGTTTACTAGACAATAGCTATATTTCTTACCTCTAAGTATTAATCACTTATTTCAATCGCATCATCTCGGGTCTTTCCGTCAGAGGTCGGAAAAACAACCTCGAATGTATTAACATCACTGGATGTTTTTTTTTTTTTTTTTAAAAATTATGTATTTCCTGTTTATTCAAATATAGGATAGATTGAGTAAGAAGTCCTTTTTATGGTATATTTTACGAGGTAATATCATTACATTGAATAAACTTAAACTCCATATTCCACAGAAAAAATGTCTCCATGCATTTATTTCCAAGATCGTGAAAAAGGAGGGTTGTAATGGCGGCTACCATAAACATTCGAGGTCGTTTTTCCGCAGGTCGGAAAGGCCCGAGAAGCAGCGATTGCACTTATTTATTCACAATTTAAATTACTCTAAGGCAAATTTTCTTATCATCTTATCTACAGGTGTAAAGGGTGACAGTGCCAGGCGGTGGGAGCCAGTTTTGACCACAAAGCCTGATGATCTATCATCAGTTACCATAATAGTTTTCGCAGATGATGAGAAAAATCATGATGCTGGACTAAAAAGACTTGAGAAATTAGTTAATGATGACTTTAAAAGCAGAGAAATTGAGGATCCTGTGATTTCTCACCTTTCTCAAGAGCAGGTTAGTAAATCATACAGATAATCAGTCTACAACTGCAATCCATCTTAAATGGGTGCTAATGGGGATAGATTATTAGCTTACTCATATGGAAACGCCACCACTTGCCGGTGGAGAGCTGTGAAGAATGGAGGCGTACAAGGCAAGGTCAATCCCCCGCTTTGAGAAAAGACTGTTTTCAATTCTAAGTTATATTTTTTAAACTCATAATGTTTAAATCATCTTTTACACATTCAATTCTGTATTTCATTGTTTTAATATTTTATTAATAATTTATTTCTCACTCATGTTTTTAAGATATGTGAAAACAAAAAAGAAAAAGCTTTACGCATGGTTCGAACTCTCTCCATAGCGCAGGGTTTGTTCCAGGACCGACTGCTTTCACCAATACGCTACGATGTATATGTATTATACTGACGTCTGTCAGTGTGATTTTTATGAACGGGTTTGTTGAAGCGTATATTTTTTTCAGAAATTTTCGATTTTTATATAGAATGGGTTCAGATTCCATTTTTGGACAAAAGAAATAGATTTCACATTTATGTTTCCATCATATAAGCGTTGACGAAGAATGGAGGCTTGACTCATTCATGTTCAAAGTACAGTTGATATAGTACTAGTTAACCCATTTTCCACTGAATATGCTTGAGTGTCAACTTTGAAATAAAGATTATCAAATAATAAGTCCTTAAGTAAAATAAAATGATAAAATGTTTTGAAGATGACTGAAAATATGATCTTAGAAAAATATAACTTTTCTGTGAATTTTGAAAATTGAGAAACATTTGTCTAAAAGCGGGGGATTTCCACGCCTTATACGCCTTCTTTTTTTGTATTATACTAGGTACTCAGGGCCATTGAGCAGGTAGGGATCTTTTTCGTGCCAGCAACTACTGCGAAACGGGACCTCGGATTATCTCTTCCGAAGGACCGGTCTCCACGTCCCAAAGTGGGATTCGAACCCGCGACGTAAGGATTGACTCCTTTCTTCGCGACTCTAGAGCAGACCTCATAACCACTGCGCCACGCGAACGACGAACTTCCATTTTACTATCTGACGATGAATAATTATAATAATCGAAAACTATACTTTACTTCTACATTACACCGGTAGCCTAGTGGTAGAGCGTTCGCTTCGTGATCGGGAGGCCCGGGTTCGATTCTCGATCGCGGCGCAACGTCATACCTAAGACGTAAACAAAGGTAGTGATTGTTCCTTCGCCAAGCTCTCGGCACTAGAAGAGAAAATCACGGGTCTTTCGAATATGACCTTAAAAACGTAGGTCCCGTGTCACGGTAAGCGTTGGCACGATAAAGTACCCTCACTGCTCAATGGCCCTGAGTGCCGAGTATAGGTCTAAATTTGAAGCCCTTCACCGGCATCGGTGACGTCTCCATATGAGTGAAAAATTCTCAAGAGGGACGTTAAACAATATCCAATCAATCAATCAATCTACATCACACTACAAACTCCTAAGAATAATAAGGCCAGTGCATAAAATATAAGAAAAAAATAAATTGGGAACTGAATTCGGTTTTTTTTACCCCATTTCACCCCCAGAATGAAAATAAAAATCCCCAAAACCCTATTGTAAATCTACAGGACACCACTGATTATCTTCCAAATGATAATTAAACTATTTTGTAAAACGCAAGAGGAGTTCTGGAAATTTGTTTCATTTTCAAAACGGTTTTGCCCCCTATTTCAAATTTGAATTTCCAAAACTCCTGCTTTAATTCATTTTATCATGGATTTTTTTACCTTGATTATCGGTTTTTCATATTTTATTTCTTAAATTTCTACATGTAGAATTTTGTATCTAACGAAGCTTAGTATAAATATAGAGAATAATATCATAAATCTTTTCCTTTGATCCATATGTTCAAACCATAGTAAAAAATATACATGTAAGCTCTCATTAGAGACTTCTGATATTTTTTTCAGCTTCTTATACTCCCCTCTTGAAAAGTTTGGAGGCTTTATAGTGATCGAGATATCCACCCTTCCATCTGTTACGCTTTGGGGTACCAATCTCTTATCTGCAACTTCTCTTATAGCATTAATGCATTTATGAGACCTTTACAGAATCTTTGTTACATAGTGCCATTGCACCTTTTTAGGTCACCTGAGTAAACTCAGGGACCTATTGCTATCCGTTTTCGTCCGTCGTCGTGCGTCATGCGTCGTCCGTTAACATTTGAACATTTTCAGCTTCTTCTCTGCAACCACTGGCACAAAGCATCTATGGGTAAAGGGGAACAAAAATTGTGAATTTCATGATCCTTGCCCCCCTGGGGCCTAGGGGGGGGGCCAAAACCACTAAAATTAATGCAATCTTTAAAAATCTTCTTCTTTACTCCTGGACATCAAGCAGTCAAACTGTTTGCATGATTGTAATCAGCAATGAGTCTTCTACCTAAATTGTGAAATTCATGGCCCTGGGGTCAGGGGTTCTAGTGCTAGGGCGGGGCTAAATAAGTAGGTAGTGAAAATGCATTATTTCTTTGAAAATCTTCTTCTCTGCTCCTGGGTATTAAATAAACCAACTAAGTACATAGTTATGATGAGCAAGAGTGCCTCTACCAAAATTGTGAATTTTATGGCCCCAGGGTTAGGGGTTCTGGTGTTAGGGTGGGGCTCTATTGATTATATATAGTGAAAATACATGATTTCTTTGAAAATCTTCTTCTCTGCTCCTGGGTATTAAATCAACTAACTAAGTACATAGTTATGATGAGCAAGAGTGCCTCTACCAAAATTGTGCCCCAGTGTCAGGGGTTCTTGTTTTAGGGGGGGGGGGGGGGCTAATGATTGTATAGTGAAATGCATGAATTCTTTGAACATCTTATCCTTTGCTCCTGGTTAATATACTAATGATATAATTACATATTTAAGGCCAGGATTTATTTTATTTTCAGTTTTACACACCCTCCGCTCAAGGTTTTGAATTTTCAGGAAAAAAAAAACAAATTTTGGTCGAGATCGAGATTTCAAATTTACGAACTTGCACTTCCGGTTTTGATGAAACAATGAAACGGCGGGTAAATAAAGCTAGATGGTCTGAGAAGATAGCTTGGTTTAGTGTAAAATTCTTCGATACGAGTGCCATTCAAAACGTTTCACCCGTTCAAAGGACAAATAAAATGCTGACTACTTTGTTGCACAATGACACGCTGGTGAGATAATTATGTATTCGTTTCAAAAGTATCTGTCTGTAAATTATTTTCCTCCCCCAGGTTTTAAACTGCCCATGGTAGCTATTGCATATTGCCAGCGACATTTTTTAGGACTCTGTTATAGCTTACAGTCTAAGCATCATTCTTCGGAAAAGGGTTGCTTATGCATCAGATGTAAAGAATAAAACTATGGGAGAAGTTAAGTCCATTTGAGAAAGAAATAAACAATAACCTGAAGAAATAAAAAAAAAAAATCAGCTATTAAAAGGCAAGAATATACAAATATATACAGGCATGTAGTATCATTTGTATCAGCCAGAAAAATTATTTTACACTTAATTGAAAAAATGTTCACTCTACTCCCCAATTCATCCCTGTCTGTTTTATGATAGGAATTATAATTTTAGGCATCAAGTAAATTTTAGAACAATGTCTACACATTTAACTAACACATATTTAAAAAAACTTTTATTCTCATGTTCATAAATAAACCTGAACATAAAAAAAATGCTGGCCTTATAATGAAGAAAGGGGCCTCTTTCAAAATAGATAATTTCAGGGCCGCTGGGTCAGGGGTACCAGGGAGATACTTTGACTAAAAATAAATTAATGCTTTGAAATATGTCCTTTGATAAGCAATGGTGCCTCCTTCAAAATTTGTGAATTGTATGAATTTTGGATTGAACCAAATACAATTGCTGAAAAGTTGTTACATGATACTCAAGTGACCTATAAGGCCCGTGGGCATCTTGTTTTATTTTATAATCCAACACTTATTTGGTTTCCCGTAGAAAATCTGGAATTTGCGATTCTTTCTATAACATTGCAACTTACTTATCTCATCCGCTACTCCTGCTATCCACTGAATAAAAATTAATGTTACTTTCATAGATCTTTACATACATGTACATGTAATGTCATTGTGCACCTGTTATTCCACTCTTTAATCAAACACATATTTCGGTTTTCCCAAAACAAAATCTGATATTGCTACTATAATCATATGAGAGGTGGGGTATCATTTTTTGAGTTCAGCGCTAATAACAGTCAGTTCCTCTAATTTTCTTATTTAATTATCTTCAATTAAAGAAGTACTTTTTTGACAGTTTAAAGCTATACAAAACTTAAAGAACGAGTTTGATGTGGAAGTTTGTATAAATAAAGAAAAAAGAATTGTAACTCTCCATGGAACCAATGAAGCCTTATTAGAAGCTACTAATATTGTTAAGGATTTGCTGCGAAATGTTGATCGGAATATAATTGAGGCTGAGTATATATCAGATGTCGTGACGTGGTATTACGTTGAAAATGATTTGGGCGAAAACAAACTCCAAGAATACCCAAAGAACATAAATTCCCTTGTGGAAAAAGCTTATCGCAATAAGGAGCCAAGTGTCAGTTTCCGTGATGAGAAGAAGACGCAATACATCATCGATTTTTCCAAAATGGAGGAGTACCCGATCGACGATCCTAGAGATGTCGTGACTGTGACTAGACGAGACAAAATTAAAGGTATAAATGCTTTTTTCTAGTCGAAGTCGAGATGAGCTTATGCTATACCCCCGACGTTGGCATTGGTGTCCCAGGTTAAAGTTTTAGGAGCAAGTCCATTCCCAAGTTACTATAAGCCGTATCTAAACCAAACTTGCATGGATGATACATCTAGGGATGGAAACTTCCAGACTTGCTTTGGATGCTAAATCTGACCTACATTTTCCTGATGAGTGACCAGGTTTTACAATCCTTTATAAACCACCGATATTGAACATCCTTTAAATGCTGTTTTTATATTCATATGGTATCACAAGCCTTTAATATTTTGTCACGTTTATTTCATTTTAATCATAAGATGAACTCCTTGTCAATGTAGAATTTCCAACAACGACAATTTTTGAATGAAATATTAAGAAATGTATTTTGAATTTTCGATAGTTACAACAAATGAAATGAAAAAAAGACACTCTAACTTTGATTTTCTGACACAATAAACCTCGATGAAGTCTCTATACAATTGCATTGATAACAACGGACAATATACTGTACATTTATTACATGATAGTGAGGGAGACATGAAGATTTCTTCGCTCATAAAAATCATATTTCTCGAGGGCCCGTTCTTTCCACGGGGGGAAGTATTCTTCATGTCTCCCACCCTATCACTAATTAACTGTTTATTATAATGATTCGAACACAATGCAGAAAATATAAAGAAAGATCAAATGAATAAAGTGAACATTTAATAAGAACAATATGAAACAGCTCTAAGTAATACCACTTCAGCCGTGTTTCAGAAAAAATCCTTCGTGACTTACACACCAGCAATATTCGAACCCACCCATGAGAACACTATTCTAAATCGACATAATCAATCAACGATATAAAAAATCTGATTCAGTCCTAACCCTATTAGTCAATGCATTATGACGTCACCATCGTGAAATACGTTCTTTTGTTGCAAGGAAAAAAAAAACGAAGGCCAAGAGACTGGCTCGAGCAATCAGATTCCTTTTTACTAGTGATTAGTTATATGAATTATGATAATATACATAATCACCGAGGATCAATGTTTCACTGACACATAATGTATCTGAACGCTGATTTGAGCTGAATCTCATTTTAAACATTTTTAAAAAAAATTGTTTAATAAAAAAATTCATTGGTGCACAGATAATGATTATTCTTAAATTATCGCTGTTCATCTAATCAGATTCTACTTTTGAGCCACCATCTGAATGGACAAATATGAAGGAGTCAGAAAATCTTTTGGTTGTTCCAGTTCCCAACGGATCACTGGAGTATCTAAATGTTATCGACAGATTTCAAAGGGAATTGAGGTCAAAGGGAATAAAATCTGACATCATTAAAGTAGGTGACAGTATTCATATATAGTTTGATTGTGATAAAAATAACAGTAGATGATGCATTTCACAGCTCAGAAATGATATTTTTGTGAAATATTCAAGATTTATAAAATTTGTTTTATACAGTTGGAGAGAATACAGAACAAGATGTTGTACCAGCAATATGTGGCCAAAAAGAAGTTGTTAGATACTCAGAACCCCTCCAGTACACAGAACGAAAGAGAACTTTGGCATGGTACTGCCCCAGGAGCAGTCAACAGCATCAACGCCTTAGGATTCAACAGGAGCTACTGTGGGGCTAATGGTAAATAATTTCTTGACTCTTCTAAATCTTATTTTATCAAAATATTATTTCCTATGATATTGCCTGCAGAAAGTCTTAGCCTCAAATAAAATCTATCAAGATTCATTGCTCTGACCTTCTTTAGAAAAATATATGATAACAAGCTTATTAAAACACCCAAAGATACTCTTGACAAGGAATCAGCAATGAGGATTTCTTGAATGCCCTCGATATCAATAAATATATACTAAAAAAAGACCTGGTTCGACACACGTTTACATTGTGATACATGTATGTATAAACAGCTTCGGATTTGCCAAGTTATTTTATATGGTTTTATCTCTCTGTCGCTTTTTAAAAAGTCCGAGTGCGTTCAAATAGCATGTTTGAAAATGTGATTAATTTGTTTCTCTTTACTCGGCCTATTAACTTTGTTTTACATGTAACGACATACCACCAATCATACATTTATCTGACTTTGTTCAAAGTTCAAGATAAAGTAGGTCATGTAGTCAGGGCAATGTTAATTAAGTCCTGTTTCAATTTAAGTGAATGCTATTAAATAAATATCAATCCCTAATTTTTGTTTTAGGTGTTAACACTGTCACAACGATCAAAAAAGTTCTATGTAATTTCTTAGAAAGATTGTAATGGCATTTAAATAAAATCACTTTTCTATACGAGGGGTTATCAAAAAGTGAGTGGACTGAGGCTATAAAATAAGTAATATAGAAGCAGTGCTTTGAAAATTTATAAGGAAGATAAAACAAAAAATAAAGAAATGTTGAAAATCTTAGCTTGATACATTTATTATTTGCCAAATTATCATCAAATTAAAACGACATTTTTATGATCACCTGGTGCCTTCGTCGTTTAGTTTCATGACGTCCGTTATCGTCATTGTTTTTAAATGTCCGCTTTTTCTACGTCATGCACTAATTTTGAATACTAATATATTCCCTAGAGCTGAGTAAGGGCTTAAATCCATCTTGTTTATATGACTTTACAAGGAAATGAACGGCAAGTTCCAATGCGTATAATATTGCAAATGTATTTATACATAGAGAGAGATCCTTGCTCGATTGTACCAGCTTTTTATTTTTTATTTTTATTATTTTTTTTTTTGCTTTCTGGTGTTCAATAGCTACAACATATGATCAACGTCATTTTTGACGTGATTGATTTTTCACATCTTGACTACAAATCAACATTAACTGGGCATCCCTTTCCTCTTTGGATCTATTTTAGCATTAAAAAAACAAGCACCCTGGATACATATTATTTTTCTGTAGACAGTTGAAATATTTCCAAGGTCTAAATCAGTTTTTTCAGGGACAAAATTGTATAGAAAGTTTGGAAAAGGAAAAGGAACCCCCCACCTCTTTTACAATAAAATTTCACAGAACTTCCAAAATGAGGCAGAATTTCCTATTTTTGTGGAACAATAGTGTCCAAATACCCACCTGAGTCAACGGGATTTTAGGATGTCAATTGTTCTTAGCAAAAGAGTTTTTTTCTAAGTTCGAAAAAACGTCGTTTTCGAGGTTTCGCCGCCTTGGCATACCAATGCTTACAAAAACTGTTAATTTGCCTATTTATTTAAAAAAAAATTATGATTTGCAGTTTATTCTTAAGATTGAAAAGATGATGCTTACTATATATTTTAAAATTTATTGATGTAGCTAATGCGGTATTAATTTTATTGCGCTAGTCCACGAACTTTTTGATACTAGTACCCTCTCGAAAGGTGTTACAGTTACAATTTTTCTTTCTCTATTTGCAATGTTTTATTTTGTTATTAACGAAAGATTGTTGAATATAACTACTAATTTCTTTAATGACAGAAATAAGTAAAATTCAAAATAGTTTTATTGATTATTTTAATTACATTTTCCAGCTGCTCTTCATGGCAATGGCGTTTATTTTGCCGTAAATGCTGATTACTCAGCTCATGATACCTATTCTAAGCCTGATCCCAATGGACACAAAAGAGTTTATTTATGCAAGGTCCTGACAGGCGAGTTTACACTTGGAGAAGAAAAAATGAGGGTACCGCCAGCCAAAGATAAAAGACAGCCTCATATTTTATATGATTCTGTGGTATATCCTCTACCAAATCCCCTGATGTACATCATTTTTAATGACACTCAGGGATATCCATCTTACCTGATTACTTTTGTTAAAAGAAATAATTGAAAACAATCTGAAGAGCAAAATAAAACAAGTGGATTTTTTTTCTAATAAATAGGTAGGAGTTATGATATCGTATATTCAAAATAATCGACATGGCATCTATTGGATAATTAGTTTTATCATCGCAAAGATTTGTTTATAAGGAAATTTGAGGATTGTGTGTTTTTACATTTGCTTTTGTCCTTTTTTATTTAAATGAAAAAATATGATTAATTAAAATTCAAAACATTAATTCAGTATTAGAGAAATAAGAAATTATTGAAGCTAATATGCTAATCAGGATGATATAAAATTAGGAAGAAGTTGTGGGTTTTGCAATGACAACAAAGGCTTTTTCACACTATGCATTATTTAATAATTAAAGGAAGTAAAAAAAATATCATTTGCACATAAGCTTTCAAAGAATGTAATTTTTTCTTAATTTCTTAATTACACACGTGTTTATATATTTTGTATATTCCATGATCGATTTTAATTTTGAAAAGTGTTATTTTTATTCAATTTTCCCGAATATTGAATAGTATAACCTGCTGCTTTACCACAAGGAAGTAGGCCTACATGTTTCAAAAGCGCCATAGAAAAATTGCATTAATGCATCATAACTGAATTTTTTTTAAGGAAAAACTGATGTTTTCACATATTCTACCAAAAAAAGTCTACAAGTTATTTTTTTAAATTTTTTGATAAAATTCGATTAAAAAAAGAGAAAAAATAGAAAAATGACGGAGGAAATAATTAATAAAAGTTTGGGCCAAATTCTAATCACATTTATATGAAGCAACGTTGTTCCGTTCCAATAATATTTCATTATTTAAAGAGTTATGTTTCATGTAATATTTTGTGTCAAGGAAAAACTACTCATAGCTTGAAAAATTCAGGTATTTTCCCAAATATACACCGCGGCCACTAGCATGAAAGTTGTCATGGACAAATTTATTTGAAATCAATATGTAACACAAGAATCATAGATGTACAATGAGCAATAAGTGGCTTTTCGTTCTTATCAGTGCAATTTTTTGTCATCTGAGTTAAGGACAGACGAGACGTTCCTTAATAATAGATAAATTTTTCTAAGAGTTTGTCATTGAAGTGTTGCTACTGAAACATGTTTACTCACAAAAAATTGAGGTACCTTACCAGGCATTTCTGCAAGATACCAGGGGTAGTTTTTCTTATATAATCCTTTGGGGAAGAAAAATAATTTTCCAATTTCAAATGTTTAAGTGTTTGGATTTTTTAAAAACGTCTAGAAACTGGTTTTGAAATCAGAATTTCATGAAAATTTTGAATATTTTTCATACATTACGAAGATATACAAAACAGATTTTGAGGAACGTCTCGTCTGACCTTAATGTGTACCTTAGAGACGTTTGCTCCTGTACTTTTGAGTCGATTTTGGTCTAGCTCTTTACTTCTAAAATTCTGCATTCAATTTTTTTAAGTTTCAACATTGAATTAAGAGTCTACAATGCAAATTAAAATATATCTATTGCAAAAACAGCAATTATATTCCAGTTTAGAAGGATTAAGCCAGGAACTATATTTTGTGGCGGAAGGTTTTTTAGAAGAAAGTTATCAATTTTTCACTTTTGAAAATTATATCAAGTACTGATTATTTTTAATTCTTATTTTCCATGTTGGTTGCACACAAAGCTTTTATTTGCAATGAAATGTGTTGTGCTTGTTTAAAATATTTATGAAATTATTCATATTAATTCTTTTGATGAAATATGATTATTTTGTTCCCTGATTTTGGAATAAAATATTAATGGGGAAATGTTGAAGATGTAATTTTTAGCTCTACTGGTCAGAGACCAGAAGAGTTTATGCGATAGTAATGCGTCCGGCGTCCGTCCGTCTGTCTGTCTGTCTGTCTGTAAACAATTTTTCAAAATGCTACTCCTCCTACAGTTTTGGTCTGATTTCAATATAACTTGGCACACAAGTAGACTACACTAAGATACATAATTCTCTGTATCGGTTTTTGATTTCGATGAACGGTGTTGCCGTGGTTACTAAAAATAGAAATTTCTGTGAAATTCTTTCAAAATGCTACTCCTCCTACAGTTTTAGTCTGATTTCAATATAACTTGGCACACAAGTAGACTACACTAAGATACATAATTCTGTATATCGGTTTTTGATTTTGATGAACGGTGTTGCCGTGGTTACTAAAAATAGAAATTTCTGTGAAATTGTTTCAAAATGCTACTCCTCGTACAGTTTTGGTCTGATTTCAATGTAACTTGGCACACAAGTAGACTACACTAAGATACATAATTCTGTGTATCGGTTTTTGATTTCGATGAACGATGTTGCCGTGGTTACTAAAAATAGAAATTTCTGTGAAATTCTTTCAAAATGCTACTCCTCCTACAGTTTTGGTCTGATTTCAGTATAACTTGGCACACAAGTAGACTACACTAAGATACATAATTCTGTATATCGGTTTTTGATTTCGATGAACGGTGTTGCCGTGGTTACTAAAGATAGAAATTTCTGTGAACTTGTTTCAAAATGCTACTCCTCCTACAGTTTTGATCTGATTTCTGTATAAGTTGGCAAACAAGTAGAATGCACTAAGATACATAATTCTCTGTATCGGTTTTTGATTTCGATGAACGGTGTTGCCGTGGTTACTGAAAATAGAAATTTCTGTTAAATTCTTTCAAAATGCTACTCCTCCTACAGTTTTGGTCTGATTTCAGTATAACTTGGCACACAAGTAGACTACACTAAGATACATAATTTTGTGCATCGGTTTTTGATTTCGATGAACGGTGTTGCAGTGGTTACTAAAAATAGAAATTTCTGTGAAATTGTTTCAAAATGCTACTCCTCCTACAGTTTTGGTCTGATTTCAGTATAACTTGGCAAACAAGCAGAAAACACCAAGATACATAATTCTGTATATCGGTTTTTGATTTTAATGAATGGTGTTGTCGTGGTTACTAAAAATAGAAATGTCTGTAAAATTGTTTCAAAATGCTACTCCTCCTACAGTTTTGGTCTGATTTTAATATAACTTGGCACACAAGTAGAATACACAAAGACACATAATTCTGTTTATCGAATTTTAATTTTGATGAACGGTGTTGCCGTGGTTACTAAAAATAGAAATGTCTGTAAAATTGTTTCAAAATGCTACTCCTCCTACAGTTTTAGTCTGATTTCAATATAACTTGGCACACAAGTAGAATACACTAAGACACATAATTCTGTGTATCGAATTTTAATTTTGATGAACGGTGTTGCCGTGGTTACTAAAAATAGAAATGTCTGTAAAATTGTTTCAAAATGCTACTCCTCCTACAGTTTTGGTCTGATTTCAGTATAACTTAGCACACAAGTAGACTACACTAAGAACATAAAGAGACTTTATCAACGATCATTATTCTATTTAATGCTGTTTATAAAGTTTCAAATCCCAGCTGCTTAAGTACTTTCTCTTCCTTTGCTATAAGTTCAAACCAGTAGAGCTTCAGTCTCGACAGAGACTTCTGGTTTAAGACATAGAATTCAGTGCAAAAAGGTAATATTCAATGTATTGTAGCACCAAAAGAAGCTTTTTGACCCTCATATTTTGATTTGATTTTTAATTAGCTGTGTGTGTAGAAAGTACATATATGCTTGACAAAAAAGTTTAAGCCTTTAAATATCAGGAGCAAAAATCGTTAAAATTGCTTATAAGCCTTTTATGCCCCCATGTCAAAGATTCGTCAGTAAAAGTTTTTGCTCTGTCCGTCTTTCTTGGCTACCATCAAAGCGTTTATTGACCTCTTGAAGTTTGAACCACTTAAAGATATAAACTCTTACATAGGTCATAACTTTTAACCGGCTGGTGCTAGTGATTACACATTTCATCTGTTTATTCTTTGTTAAAAGACCTTTCAATGAGAATAAATATTTTTACCTTTTGAACTTGATCTTAGAGTTTGGCCAACTTTTAAATTAATTTTATCGTGGCCACTTTTTGAACAGTTAGAATTAGGGCTTCAATTTTTTCACAGGTTTATTCTTTGTGAAAAGACCTTCCTTTGGGTACCAACAACTTTTGAATTTATAACATTGACATTTGGAGCTAGAACTTGCATCTGAAAATCTTCAATCCTCGCCATGATATAAGCTGTGTGGCAACGCACGTTGAAAAAATTACGCACTTTAAAAAAAATTTCAAAGTGCGTTAAATTTGGGACAAAACCAATGCACTTTGAAAATTTTTTCAAAGAGCGTTAAATTTGGGACACTCAACGCACTTTGAAAAAAAAATCAAACTGCGTTAAATTTGGGACAAAATCAACGCACAATGAATTTTTTTTTCAAAGTTCGTTAAGAGTGTACATTAACAAAAATTCTAGACTTCAAATGTATAATTGAGAGAGTTAATTTGTTAAAGATATATAATAAAAAAAACTTCATAGTAAATATGTATTGATTTAACCTTAATGAGAACAAGGAAAAGACGAGTAGGTCTCTCAATCAAACTCTTTATTTTATAGATAGCCGTGGGAAACAAATTAATTGAACGTGTCTCCCTCCCCCCACCCGATGGTAAGCCCTAATTTTCAATGTTTATATTATGTAACTATATATTTGTAAAACACATGTGTGCCTAAGCCCCCCTCCCGTTTGTGATGCCTATGCTTCACCCAAATATATTTGCATACCTAGCATGACGTTGAAACTTTCGATAAATTTCAGTTAACATTAAATGCATGCAATCAGGAAAAAAATTACAATTAAACATAGGTATCGGAAGCAAATTAAAAGGGGTGCTAATTCAACAAAGGTAAACCCTAATTTTCAATGCCAATATTATGTGCCCCCCCCCCCTCGACGATTCCGACGCCTATGAGAAAACATTTACGAGAGAAAGTATGTAAAAATAAAAATCGCCCACGTTCACATCCTGAAATGACTGGATCACCAAAAATGTATTCAACAGGTTCAATTACTTATCATATCTAAGATTTGCAAGAATATCAACCAAACACATTTTTTCAAAGTGCGTTAATATGGTTGATATTAACG